TGTCTTTCTGTTGAGGGCACATGCCCTATAGCAAAAACCTCTCCAAAAAAAAAAAAAAAGAGAGAAATATAATTGAGAACCAACAGGTAGGACAAACTATAGTTGCACAGATCCATCACTTCTAACGTTGTATAAGTGAGTCAGTCACTGGACATTAATAGGAGAGGTATTCATATCCAGATTCATAAACTAACATTGGTGCTAATGTTTCAGCTTTTCCAGTAAATGGATTCTTCTTAAGGTGTTATGTGGTCATTTAGTTAAAAAAAAAATGATACTCTAGGAACTGAAATAATTTTTGCCGTAATATGTAAATGCAAGTGTGTATTTATTTATTTATTTTTGTATTTATTCCAGAGAGTAACATGCTGCATTTTCAAATATTTGATGAACTGAAATTGATTGAATTTAATATTATTCAGTGCCTACTCTAGGTAGGCACTATGGTTACTGAACAGCTTGCTTATTATACATCATGGTAGGAGAGAAAGATAAAAAGAAATGTAATATCAGCAAGATGCAGTATGTGTTCAAATAGGGTATGAGTTATATATTATGGGGAGCGGTAATTCATTTTGATTGGGAGGACCTGAGAAAGTTTGGAGGAGATGACATTTGATCTGTGCCTGGTAGGATAAGGTTTTGATAGTTTGGAAAGAGCATGAGCTTCCTTCAACTACAGTCTGGGATGTACAAATGAACTGAGAATACTGTTAAAATAGTATTTTAAAATGAAAAACATCATTTGTCACTCATACTTTTGAAACTTCTGAGGCTGCCATAATAGCAGAACTCACCCAAAAACAAACAAACCTGTAGTAAAAAAAAATAGCAAAATTTAAACATTTTACCAATAAATTAAATAATTACTGTTTTTAATGCCTTCCTAGTTTTGTATTTCATGAAATTTAGTCTTAATAACTGTAGAACATAGTTGTATTTATTCAATACAATTCTTCTTTTTGGAGTGGTTTTTGCTAAAGGGCATGTGTGCTCTCCACAAAGACAGAGACAGAAAGACAGACAGAAAGCGAGAAATCACCCCCCAGGAGGGATGGCCACACCACAATCCCTTCTCCTCCATTCTCTTCTAGAGATCTTGGGAACGCACGCACACGCACCCAGTGTGAGTTTAAGCCATCAGGTCCAGGACTTGAACCGTGGTCGACTACATGGATGTCCAACAACATAGTCATTATGCCAACTGCTGGTCCCTATTCAGTACAATTCTTTTTGATAGAAGATTTCTGTTTATCGGGAAAGAAAACTAATACGCATTTTCATTTTCTTTCTTTCATTTTTTTCTTTTTGGAGAGGTTTTTGCTATTGGGCGCATGTGCTTGCCAGAAAGACAGAGGGAGCCAGAGGGACAGAAAGCAAAAAATCACCCCCTCAGGGGGGATGACCATGTCGCAGTTCCTTCTCCTCTATTCTCCTCTTGGGATCTTGGGCACACACGCACACCCACGCACCCGGTGTGAGTTTAAGCCACCGGGTCTGAGACTCGAACCACAGTCGACTACATGGGAGTCCAGCAACATAGCCATTACACCAA